TATATCATTGCAGTCTTGAGTTAATTGTTTTCCTGGTTCTGCTTTCTTCATTTTGCATCTGTTCATATAAGTCTTCCCAAATTTCTTCCAACATGTTTTCTGTTTTATCGTGATCAATCAGCCAATATGCAGAGAATTCCTACTACAAGTTCTGTCCTATGCAAGGGACTGTGAGTGCTACCGAGACATGGTCCTTATTTTCAAAGACTTTATGGTCTAATTGGAAATCTGGGACAAGTGCACTATAAGACAGTTAACAACACGAGACAGATAGCTCATTGTTTTGCTTGGCCAGTGTGGTAGAGGTAGCACTAGAATACCTATTGCCTGGAAATTCCACCATTAAAGAATCATTCTTTTAGCTTAAAATCTTGTCCCCTGTTAAAAATGAAAACTCAAAAGCTATTTCACCTCTCTGACCTCAGTGTCTTCAACTATAAATTGAGGAAGTAGGTCTTGATGAAGGGACTTGAAGCTCCCTTTTGGTTTTAATGTTATTATCCTATGATTTCTTGAAATCATCTGTGAAGGCTGGGGGAGGGGCTCTGGAGATCCCTAGATTCCATATTGTCTGAGAGACAGTAAGGGAAAGGAAGAGAGAATGATGATGGGACCAATCTTTCTGGATGGTACCCACGATGAGAAGAAAGATTATCAAAGGTACAGAAAGGCTTTCTGAATGGCAGGGAAGGGAAGAGATAGAACTGGAGATAATTATATCTCTTTCACGATTTTGCTCCCAGCCATTCCTGGGAGAACCATTAATAAATTTGTTCAATTCATAGATTTAGAGTCGGAAAGGACCTTAAAGATCTGATTTATGCCATTTTAGAGATGAGGAAACTGAGGCCCAGAGGCTGTGACTTGATTAAGGTCAGATGAGTCTTAAGGAGTAGTGTTAGAATTTGAACACAGGTCTTCTGACTACAAAACCAATATTTCTACTATATTTTCCTCTCTGGCCTCAGTTTCCTCATCTGTAAAATGGCTTAGATTAGATCTAAAATCCTTTTCAGCCTTTATATTCCATGTTCCATGGCTCCTGATAGACAAGGGCAAGCACCTACGTCAGATACCTTTCTGGGGTAGGTGGGGAATTATCCTGGGTTCTCTGGGGAATGGGCAGTTAGAGTAGACAGATTCGATACCTGTTTCGAGAGCTACTTCCCTAACATGTTTCTCCACATAGACTTGGGAGAAAAAGCAAGTGATTTCCAGAGAGAAGCATTGGCAGGGCCTGCTGGTGAGGGGGACAACCCCTCTCTCATTAGTCCAGCCACGGGTTTTCCCATGATGCTTCAGTGTCGGAATCCTCTGGACACCACAGGGACCAAAAGTAGTCATGTGAGAAAATACAGTGAAACCCAAGACTCCAGATGGGGCCAACTGGCTATCCCATGCGGGAACCGGAAACATGGCCTTATACGGGTGGCTCTAATTGCTTATCGTCAGTCATTTGTGGGAGTTAGTCTCAGCCCTTACCAGAGGACTGAGGGCATTTCAAGGAGTTTTCCACAAAGCAATTGAGAATTCAGAGAAAATCCGTGGGGATGGATCCATGATGTGGTGTGAGCCTGGCAAGGGATTCAACTACGGCTGTGGCAGTAAGAGTGGAAAGGGAAGGATGGCTGTAAAAAACCCAAACAAACAAACAAAAAAAAAACCAAAGAACACTCTTTTCTGCTCATAGAATATGCTTTACATTCTTCTCCTCAATTTAATTTCTCAATCTCAATTGGTTATCACTCATCTCTGTTAAAATGCCAGCTAATATGCCGTACTCCCCAGTCCCTAAGGGTCACATATTTTGAGCTGGAAAGCCATGACATGAGAGGCCATTGAGTTCAACCCCCTCATTTTACAGATTAGGAAACTGAGGCACATTTTCATAGGGTTACACAGCTAGCAAGTGTCCAATGTAGCATATGAACCCGTCTTTCTGTCTTCAAGTCCAGTGCCCTTTCTATTATATCACAGGTTCTCAATGACCATGCCAGTGAAGCATATGGCCTGGTAAGGCTCACCAGCCAAGAAAGCCCCTCACTCTCTTTGTCTTTTGTTTGAAGACCTGCCCAGTGAAGTTCAGAGATGCTCATCACCAGAAGGATGGCTGCAGGGTAATGAGTTTTCCATAAAAGACTAGTTACCAAGGTATAGAGAGGTTTTGACATACATCCTTTGATCACAGATCTGGACTGGAAGTGACCTGGAAGGTCCTTTAGTTCAGAGGTGTCAAAGAGGAAGACCTTCTCAGGTATCCCAAACCTGATTAAAATGTAATTAGGAAATATTTAACAAAATAAATTACAATATAATAGAACATAGATAATGTTAATATGTGGTTTTCCAAGTCAATAGGCAGGCAGCAGGGATCCTTATATAAGGATTGATAACTCCTATTTCTATCTATCTGAGTTTGACTCTGCTGCTCTAGTCCAACCCTGTTTGCCCACAGATGGGGAAACGGAAGCCCAAGCTCACACAAGCAGTAGGCATCATAGGCAGGATTAAACCCAAGTTTTCTGACTCCAGAATCAGCATTCCTTTCCTCGTGCCATGCCCACATAACTCACCAACTCTTGTGTTGGCTGCTAAGTTTTACCCTCCTGGGGATATCTGAATTTTCCTGTTCATCTCTGGAAGACTGGGCAGCATGGTTATTTTAGAATGAATCTGTTGTATTAGAGATTTGGGAAAACCAGTAACAATCATCCTAAGGCGGGAGTGGGGAGGGAAGCACTAGATTTGGAAATAAGACTGTTGAATTTGGGGTCTGCCAGATTTTGGGCAAGTGATTGCTTGGTCTCTGGATCTCTGTTTGTTGTTCAGTTATTTTCAGTTGTGTCCAACTCTCTGGGACCCCATTTGGGGTTTTCTTGGCAAAGATACTGGTGTGGTTTGCCATTTCCTTCTCCAACTCATTTTACAGATGAGGAAACTGAGGTAAACAGGGTGAAGTGACTTGCCCAGAGTCATACAACTAGTAAGCATCTGAGGACAGATTTTACCTCAATTACTTCCTCTGAAAGAAAGAAAGAAAGAAAGAAGGAAAGAAAGGGGAAGGAAGGAAAGAAGGAAGGAAGAAAATAAAAAGAAAAGGTAATATGGTACTAGAAATAGCTGTTTGGTAAGGTCCTCAACTCTTATTATTACCCAATAATAATTTCCTAGTGGGCAGTTGAGAAGATTGTCTTCTGTAAGTTATTCTGCATTGGTGGTTGCCTATTTTATCAATTCAAGAAGTTCCTGGAAGTTCATAATGCATCTCCACCGAACTGAAAACAAGGTATGGTATTGACAATTCTAGGTCCCAAGGTCTGTGGCATTTCGCCCAAGAGAATGCAACTTGTCCAATGTTCCATGCAAGGTTGAGAACATGATTCTCTGCCCCCTGTTCTTCATGCTCTACCTATTTTGCCTTAATCCAACCCCTTCTACACTAGATCAGTCTAGGAGTCAGCAATCTTTTTAGATCAGCGTGCCAAGTGTTCATTCATTCACTTCTTTGATGGTGATGATGTGGGGGAAGGGGGACTACAGAGGTTGAAGGGGCCTGCCTGGTTCCTCCAAATCTGAGGAAGAGGTGAATCCAGAGATATTCTGGAAGAATTCTCTGAAGCCTTAGTTCCCAGGAATCTTGGTGATCTAGGATGGTCAGGTCATAAGGGGAAGGCCCAAAACAAGTCCTTGCTCATGCCTCTCCCACACCACCAGCCCCTATGGTCCTACAACCCATCTTTTGTGCCTCCTTGGGCATGCATGCTACAGGTTGCCCAGCCCTGGACCAGCCCTGTCAACCACAAGCATCCTCCTCTCTTCCCATCTGGCTAAGGCCTCAGTGTGGGGTACAGGTCCTCTCTTCCTCTTCCTTTGCCTTGACTCCCCAGGACAAGCTGCAGCAGGAGGAAGGTCAGCAGAGCAGGGTTGAGAGGTCAGGTAGAGAGCCAGAGTGAAAAGTGACAGACTCTGGGTTCTTGCGTGTCTGAAGCCCAGCCTTCCACCCTCCCCCACTCCAGGGAAAATCACAGGAAGGGAGCTGGTTCAGATGCCAACTGTCCGCGGAGCCTGGGACCCTGGGCATGGGAAAGAGATTCAAACGCCGCTGTTGCTGGCGCCTTTCCCTCGGAGAGAGGCAGCCCTCTCTGCCTCTCTGTTTGCTGTTTGTTTGGGGCCTCACAAATAGGGCATTGAAAACACTTCCTGCAGCTGAATGACGCCCTGTGTCGCCTACCGCAGGCGGGCACTGTGGCCCAGCTCGCAGGCTGGCTGCCTTTGGGGGGAAGCCTGCAGGGCGGGGCGGCGAAGAGGGGGTTCCCGCAATGCCCTTTCCTCTCCCCAGGGAAGGGAGGAATCCTCTCTTCCCTTCAAGTAGTCTTTCTTCCCTCTGGTCAAGGCAGCTTTGCTTAGACCGCCCCTGGGACACCAGGTCCCCTTCTTGCCTTGAGATCCAAAAAAAGGAAATCACCCCCAGTCCGGAGGGTGACTGGTGGATAGGCAGGAGGTGGGGAGTGGAGAGGGAGGGAGGGCAGAGGCTTCGGTTATTAATAGTTCTCTTGACTCAGAGCCACCCCGTTATGCGAAACCAAGTAAGGTAACCCCCTCTTTGGAGGCAAGATGCCTCTGGCTGTCAGCGATGGGCTGGGAGCGAGGCCCAGAAGGCGGGGTTAGCCCCGAGGGGTCGGGGCCATAAATAAGAGGGTCGCGTGTCAGGGAGATAAACATGAGGGGGTGCTGGGCCTGAACAGAGTCGCCAGGGGCTGTCCGGAGCCGAGGGAGGCGGAGCACCAGTGCCAAGGCCAGCGCCAGCGTCGGAGCGGCATCGGCATCGGCAGTGCCAGCGAGGGCATAGGCAGTGCCAGCGCCAGCGCCCTCACCAGCCGAGCCGCAGTCCAGCCTTAGTCCCTGAACCCTCGTTCCGTCCCGTCGGTGCCCTCCCTCGGAGGGCAGCGGGACCAGGAGGGGCGCTCGCCTGTGCCCGGCGAGGCGCGGCCTGGGGTGCGCTCCTGGGCCGGGGGGCGCTGCCAGCATGCCTACCTCCCTCCATGCCTGGTGGCTGTCCGGGTTGCTACTGGGGCTCAGCCTACAACTCCGGGCCCGGGTGGAGGCGTGCAGCTGCGCCCCCGCGCACCCCCAGCAGTTGCTCTGTTCCTCGGCCATAGGTGAGTGCGCCTTGGGGCAGGCAGCCGGGATGGGGGGCGGCTCGCGGGACTGGCTGGCACCACTCCAAACTATCTCTGTGTGTAGGACTGGAGCGGGTGCGGGCCCTTCTTGTTGGTATTAAGCTCTTACGATCACAGAATGCCAGAGCTGGGAAGTTCATTCCAGTCTAACCCCTCGCCCCCATTTTACAACTGGGGAAACTGCGACCCAGAGAAAGGTAGGGATTTGTCCGAGGTCACATAGCGAGTTAATGGCAGAGGCGGGATTACAAAGGAGGTCTCCTGACTTCCAGACTGGTGCTCTTGGCACTATCCCAGCTGTACTGGGGAGCAGGTGGGGGATGGGGGACTCCAGAGCTTGCATATGGGTCATTAATAAGAGTTTGCCCAATGGCTTTTATCTGGAGAAAACACTCCTTCTCCTCCCACCCCCTCTCCCTCCCTCAAAGCCAAACCCAACTCCCCTTCATACACTCTTGCACTGCTTCCTTCTTAACTCTTAAACTAAGGCATTGGGAGAGGACTCATTGCTATAGCAACATTTAACAAGTGGAAAGTCACTGGTTTTTATGGGACAAAGAGAATGTACAAAGAGTCTTCCACAGCACCCAATGACCCATGGCGTGGAATCACAGTTCGTTAGAGCTGGAAGGGAATCTAGAGATCTAGCCCAAATTCTTTATTTTACAGATGGGGAAACTGAGGTCCAGGGACAGGGAATGTGTCTCAATGTTTGTGGTGGAGGAGGGACTAGAACTGATCTCCTTTTTGCCTTGGAGGGAGGGGGCCTTTTCCACTACCTCCACTATGCTGCCTTCTCTGTCCTTGCCTTTACTCACCTAAGGAAGTTTAGTACAGTGAACAGAATATTGGAAGACCAAGCAGGACCATTATTTTAAACTTCCAGCCCAATACTGTAGCTGCTGATGCAGAAAGTCAAGGTGGGGTAGGGGAATGAGCAATGGAATGGTAGTAAGAGGTCCTAGGATTCAATTCCTACTTTAGACAAACCACAACCTCTCTGCTTGCCCCTTTGCAAGATGAAGACGTTGGACTAGATGACCTCTAAGATCCCTTAGGCTCATCTCCTACGTGTACTGACTCTAGAACCTTCCCCATTCAGTCCTTTGAAAGTTTTTTTTTTTTATTAAATTACTGAGTTCAGCTTGATTTCTTGGGATTGGCCTCTTTCTCTCTGAAGTTGACTGCCAAGGTGGAGGAAAAACTCATACAAAGTTCGAATCTGAAGAGTTCCCCTAAACAAGAACCCATTCTGCACTGCCCCCTCATGAGTAGTCATTGAGCTAATGATGAGGAACTCTGTAGTCCTGGAGGCTCCCTTTCTACTTCTGGACTGTTCTAATTTTTAGGATGGCAGTCCTTGACTGGAAATCTGCCTATGAAACTGTCAGTGTAGTTCTACCCTCGGAGAATGAGCAAAATTAGTCAGATCTCTCTCCTACCTGTCACAGCCAACAGAGTCCACTATGTTTTACCTTCTTTCAGCTAGATCATTCCTTCAATTCTCTCTGTTAGCCTGGGTTTTAGTCCCCTTACCATCCTTGCTGTTATCCTCTCAATGCCCTCGGATTTGTCAATGTCCTTCCTAAAATGTGGCACCCTGAACAAATCAAATTTCCAGGTAATAGTCTGAGCAGGAAGGGTTAGGAGTCCCTGTTTTGCACATTAAGATTCCATCAAAGCAGCCTAAGATCACAACAACTGTGCATGTGACTCTTTCTGCTTGAATTTTAGCTAGAAATGCATGTCTTTTTTATATAAATTGTTGTCTAGGTGTGGTTTCCTCCTCCTGCCTGTAGCATTTAGAAGCAGAAGGCACCTCAGAGGTTTGTCCCAATTCACTCATTTTGCAGATAAGAAAACTGATGCCCGGAGAGGTGATTTGGTCAATAACACATAGGTATTAAATATTAGAGAATTTGGACACTTGACTTTTTGAACCTGAGTGCAGGACTTTACATTTATTACTATTAGATATGGATAATTATTTGTCTGTGCAGATTTTTTTTTCAGTCAACAAGCAGTCAGCCTACAATCATTTTTTAAAACATCTATTACAGGCTGAGTGTTGGAGGCACAAAGAAAGGTAGAGGCTAGTCCTTACTCTCAAGGAGCCCATAATGTAATGGGAGAGAGAACATGCAAAAAACTATGTACAAGCAAGATACAATTAGATTAAATTAGAGAGAATCAACAGAGGGAAGGCAGTAGTATTAATGGGGATCAGGAAGGTGGGATTTTAGCTAAGAATTGACAGAATCCAGGAGTTAGAGATGAGGAAGAAGAAAGTTCTAGGTGTGGCATAACAAATGAAAATACACTAGGGTTGTGAGATGGTTTGTCTAATTCCAGGAACAGCGGAAAGGTCAGTACATGGGGTGGGGCAGGGAGTGTAAGGAGTAAACTGACTAAAACAAAGGGAAGGGGCCAGATTATGGAGGGTTTTAAACAGAGGGTTTTATATCTGGTACTGGAGGCAACAGGGAGCCAGTGAAGGTGAATGACTAGATGGGAGTGAGGTGATCAAAATTTCACTTTTGGAAGATCAGTTTGACAGCTAAGTGGAAGATGGAGTGGAGTGGGAGATACTTGAGCTAGGGAAGCCAATCAGTAGACTATTACAATATTTTAGGTGGGAGGTGATGAGGCCCTGAACCAAAACAAGGGCAGTGTCAGAAGAGAGGAGGCGTATCATGAGAAATGTCACCAAGGTAGAAATGACAGGGCTAGCAACTGATTGGAAGGGGAGTGGTGAGAGTAAGGAGTTGAGAATAACACCTAAATTTTGAGTCCAGGTGACTGGGAGGATTGTGATAACCTTGATAGTAATAGGGATGTTAGAAAGATGGGAAGGTTTGGGGTGGGGAGGATAATAAGTCCAGTTCTAAACATGTTGAGATTCTATGGGGTATCCCATTCCATCTTAAATATGTATTAGGTCTATGGAATATCCAATTCAAGATGTCTAATAGGCAGTGGGAGACAAGAGACTAGAAGTCAGGAAAGAGGTTGATGCCGGACAAATGAATATGAGAATTATCTTCATGGTAGATAGTTGAAAGGATGGAAACTGATGAGATCACAAAGTAAAATTGTATAGAGGTAGAAGAGAAGGAAACTCAGGACACCCATCCATCATTCATTCACCAGTGTGATCAGATCAAAGTCCAGCAAAGGAGACTGAGAAGAAGTGGTCAGATAGATAGAAGAACCAGCAAAGAAGAGTGCCTTGAAAATGTAGACATAAGAGAATATCAAGGCTAAGAAGGGTGATCTATGATGTCAAAGGCTGCAGAGAGTTTAAGAAGGATGAGGGCTGAGAAAAAGTCATTGGATATGGCAACTGAGGGATCGTTGGTAATTTTGGAGAGAGCAGTTTCAGTTGAGTGATGAAGTAGAAAGCCAGCCAGCAGAGAGTTAAGAAGGCAGGAAGAGAAAAAGGAAGAGGAGACATCAATTATAGATCTCCCTCTCTAGGAGTTTGGCCAGAAAAGGGAGAAGAGCGATAGGACCATGGCTAGCAGGGACGCCATCCAGCATACTACAGACCCGTCTCAATTAGCAACACTTAGTTAATTTTGAACATTTCACATAGTCTGGTTCCAAGAAATCAAGGTTTTACTGCAGTTCCCACTATATTGCTGCCTGGACTATTTAGAGCCTCCTGACCTTCAGAACTCAGGGAAGAGGGGGCTTTTTAATGGGTGGTTTCCTTTCTTCTTCAATGGCCTCTACACAACAAGACTGGATCACTCCAAAATCTTTAGGCAAAGAGATATGGAAAAAAAAAAGTGGGCATGCTGTGGTCCCTTCCATTCCCTGGCTCCCCACTCGAGCCAGAGTGTCTATAAACTGCTCATTACCACAGCCAATGTAGAACGTGAATTTCCAACCCTACCGCCAATTAGCATTTCTATGGCCTGAGGAATTCTCTCTGCATACTGAGTAATGGCTTTCTGGACCTGACAGGACATTTTTGTGGCCTCGGCTCTGTTTGTGACTAGCAGTTAGTCCTGTTCGGATGGGCTGCGTTTGGAGCATTTTTCTTGGGTTATCTACTCAAAACACCAGGGATCTAATGAGGTGGGGGAGGGAGATAGTTAAGGACAATGTAGTATTAGTAGAAAATAGTTCCAAATCTGCTTAACACTTAATAGTTGTGGGACCCAGGACAAGCCATTTAACTTTTCTGAGCCTCAATTTCCTCATCTGTAAAACAGGGATAATAATAGCACCTACTTGTTATTGTTGCTCAGTTGTGTCCAACTCTTCATTACCCCATTTGGAGTTTTCTTGGCAGAGATATTGGAGGGTGAGGAAACTGAGGCAAACAGGGTGAAGTGACTTGCCCAGGGTCACAAGGCTGGAAAGTGTCTGAGGCCAGATTTGAGCTCGAGAAGCTTGAGACTAAAGGACAGGTGCGCTACCCCCTGCACCACCTAGCTGCCAGCACCTATCTAGGATCATATATTTAGAGCTGGAAAGGACCTTAGTATCCTTTATCTAATGATTTTAGAGATCAGGAAACTGAGATTAAGTGACTGGGTCACATAGCTAATGTGTCCAAGATGGGATCTGAACCCAGGTCTTTCTGCCTCCAGTTCTAGCATTCTATCCATTATTTTGTGTTGACTCTTAAGTCAACTCTTGTAGGGTAGTTGGGAATATCAATTCAATAAGCATTGATTAAGCTCCTACTATGCTCCCCCCAAAAAAGACAAAAACTGACAGCCCCTACCTTCAAGGAACCTGCATAAGGATGGCATGAGCTGATGTGTGTGAAGCTAAGGCACCATATAAATATTAGCTATTATTACTCTGAGTCCTTTTCCTGACGAAGCTGCTGATGGGTAGGCAGGAGACTAGGTGGGGACACTGCCCCCACCTTTGGATAACACATCCAGTGCCAGAGACAGGGAGGTCCTTAAGATGGGCAAGGTGATCTGGGCACCTCCTTCATGGGATAGTCCTCAAACTCAAGTTTGAAGGGGCCTTGGAGACCATCCACTCCATCATCTTCATTTTACAAATGAGGAAACTGAGGATTCCCAGGGATATAATGATTTTCCAGGAGGTGAGTTCTACTTGGATACCCTATTGACATGTCAAATTCAATATGCCCAAATCTGAACTAATCATTTTAGCTAATAAAACTGACCTTCCTGCAAACCTCTTTATCGGGGTTGGTGGTACCATCATCCTCTCAGTAAGCCAAGTTCATAACCTCAGATGAATCTAGTCTACCTACTAATTTTCTGTACCACCATTTCCCCATTCCATCAATTATCCAGTCAGGCTAATTCTCCCTCCACTCCATATCTCTAACATCTGCTCCCTGATTGCCCTTTACATTGGGGGTATCAAACTCCAGTAGAAATGGGATCACTAAACCATACAAAAGGATCCGTGATGGCTGCATATTGACTTAGAAAACCATATATTACCATTATCTATGCTCTGTTGTAGGGGCAGCTAGGTGGTGCAAGCACTGGGCCTGGAGTCAGGAGACCCTGAGTTGAAATCCAGCCTCAGACACTTACTAGCTATGTGACCCTGGACAAGTCACTTTACCCTATTGGCTTCAGTCGCTTCATCTGTAAAATGAGCTTGGAAAGGAAATGGCAAACCACTCCAGTATCTTTGTTAAGAAAATCCCAAATGGGGTCACAGAATCACAAAGACCTGAGTGAAACAACTGAATAACAAATGCTCTCTTACATTTTTATTCATTTTCTTAAATATTTCCCAATTACATTTTAATCTGGCTTCAAGTATATCAGACCCCAATACTCCCCACACAGTGTGTTTAACACCTCCAATTTACATAGCTAGTAGTCTGCTTCAGGTCCTCATTACTTCTCACCTGGACTATGGTAATAGCCTTCCAGTTGATGTATTTCCCCCTACAGTCTATGCTACACAGAGTTACAGAGTTAAAACACAGTCCTGACTGGGTCACTCTCCTCCCCCAGAACCATCAGTGCTTCCCTACTGCCTTTAGAAAAAAAATACGAACTCCTCAATCTGACATTTAAAGGCCCTCCACATTCTGCCAGACTTCCATGCACTCTGCATTCCAGGAAAATTGACCTACTAACCATTCCCCAAACTTGCTGTTCTCTTTTTTGTCTCCATTTTAAAAAATGGGGACTGTGTTTTTAATCAATGTAGAAAGTTCCAGATGAGGAATTTCCTTTACCACCAAATATCAACACCTCCTCATCTGCCAGGTCCAGTGTTAGAGAGTTTCTGGGGCACTGGGAGGGTAGGGGTGTTGCCCAGTCAGTCCCATAGCCCAGAATGTGTCAAACCTGGGTCTCCCTAATTCTAAGACCATCCCTCCACCCAGTTCGCCAGGCCACCACACATTTTCTGTCTTTCCGAATCTTTATCTTCCTTCAAGACTCAGCTAGGCATCCCCCTCCTCAGCGAAGCCTCCTCTGGTCCCTCCAGTATTTGCGTCTTTCCCTCCTCAATTTTCCCAGAGTGCTTTGTGGGATGTCTCCCTTGCTGCTTTACTCTCTGCCTTGGACACTGCTTACCTGTGCATACATTGTGTCCCCCAGCGGAATGTTGACTCCCTGAAGGCAGAGCCTGCCTCAAAGGGAATAGCCTTGTAATAAATGTTTGTCGAGCTATGGCATATGACAGAGAGCTGAAGAAGGGGGAATGATGAGCTGAGTCGGAGCAGAGAAGACTTGGAACAGAGGAAGAGAATTCTCTTCGAATAGATGGAGAGAAATTAAGTGGCAGAAGGAAAACACTCAGCCTGTGCTGTTCCTGAGGGCAGAGCTTGAACCCCTGGGTGACAGTTTTCTGTGATCTCAACATAAGGAAAACCATCCCCACGATGAGCTAGCCCAATGACAAAGTGGGCTGCTGCCGCCATAGGAGATAATGCTGCTCATTATGTGCTCAAGCAGAGGTCAGATGTGCAGTAGTCAAGGATGCTGCAGAAAGAAGTTCTACATCAGGTTGGGGGGCAGGTGTGTGGATGAGGTGACCTTTATAGCAGTGTATCAGATAAAGCAGTGCCCCTGGAGTCAGGGAGACCTGAATTCAAATCCGGCCTCAGACACCTGCTAGCTGTGGGACCCTGGACAAGTCACTTACACGCTGTCTGCCTCAGTTTTCTCATCTGTAAAATGGGGATAATAGTACTTGCCTCATAAGGCTGTTGGAAGGAATGAGATGTTTGTAACACACTTAGCATGGTGCTAGTAGGTGCTTAATAAATGCTCTTTCTGTCCCATGCCATTCCCCATCCCTTCCAACTCTGACATTCAGATCTGGTGCCCAGGTGAGCTTCAGCATGTACTTGTGTTCTTGTCCCTTCCTTCAAGGGCTATGAAGTCCTGCTAAGGCTGCTCTAATGCTTCCAGTAGGTGCCTAGGCTAGACCATCACGTGATTATCCTGCTTTCTCAGTTTCCCAATACCAATAACAACAACAACAACAATATTTACATAGCGCTTTGAGGTTTACAAAGCACTTCACAAATATTATCTTACTTTATCCTCACAATAACCCTGGGAGGTAGATGCCATTATCATCCTTATTTTACAATTGAGGAAACTAAGACAGACAGAGGTTAAGTGACTTGCCCAGGGTCATACAGCTAGTAATAATAATAATAATAATAATAATAATAATAATAATAATAGCTAACATTTATTAAGCAACTGCTATGTGGTCGGCACTGGGCTAAGTGCTTTACAATTGTTATCTCATATGATTTTTACAACAACCCTGTAAGATAGGTGCTATTATTATCCCCATTTTACAGGTGAGGAAACTGAGGCAAAAAGAGATTAAGTGGTTTACCCAGGATCACGTAGCTAAATGATGGAGGCTAGATTTGAACTTAGGTCTTTCTGACTCCAGGTCCAGTGTTCTATCCACTGAACCATCTAGCTACTCAATGCCACAGGGATAGAAGGAACAGGGAGGAACATGAATGAAACAAGAAAATCCAGCTCAGAGCATTAATGAAGTCCCCTAAACATGCTAAACAGCTAGGGAGTGTCTATAACCATGACATTATAATTGTAACCATCATAACTATAATCATGAGATCATAATTATAATCATCACTATAATTATAATATGATTATAGCCATGATATAACTATAATCATGACATCATAACTGCAGTTATGGCATCACCTATAATAATGATGTCATAATCGTAATAACTATAATCACAACATCATAATTAGACATTATAAGTATAATCATGACATATGGTATCATAATGGTGATCATGACATCATAACCAGAATGATATCATAATTGTAATCACAACTATAATTATAATGATGTAACTATAATCATGATATTATAACTGCAGTTGTGATATCTATCATCTATAATAATGCTGTTATCATTGTACTAACTACAATCTCAACATTATAATTATACTCAAGGCATCATAACTATATCCATGACACCATAAATATAATCATGACATCACACACGTGACGATGATATCATAATGGTGATCATGACATCATAACTAGAATCAGGACCACATATTATAACGAAATCACATCATAACATCTTTGTGGTTTTTCAAATTTATTTTCTATATATTATCTTCTTTAGCTTTAACAACAAGCTTGTGAGGGAGAAAGAGTGGGGTGCTACAACCCTCATCTTATAGATGAAGAAAGAAGAGAAATGATTTACCTAAGGTCACATAGCTACTCAGAGGCAGGGCTAGGACCCTGCTCATCTAATGTTCACTCTGCTATACCATAGGCCAACCCCTTGAAGCATCTTGCATCTGGAGCCTTTGCTCCAGGCTCCTGTTTTGAAAAGTACTTTCACCTGGACCCTTTAAAACTCTAATTCAATGTTGAAAACTAAAAAAAAAATAAAGAATTTTTAAAAACCCTCTAATTCAAATAACCATTCTCTGTGTGATCTTTTTCAGCCCAGCTTTTCATAGAATAGATTTTTAAAACCTCAGTCCCCCCAGCTCTGGTTAGGGATTTGATGAGACTTCACTTGTTTCAGTTTTCCAGGATAACTGACATGGGAGCTCCTGGCTCATCCAATTTCTGGGACCAGGGGGCTGACCGTGACAAGCTTCTCAGACCACTGAACCTCAATACCACTAATGGGTCCTTCCTTTTCTTTCCCTTACAGTGATCCGGGCCAAAGTGTACGGTGAAAAAGTGGTCCCAGCCAGGGAGGACCCAGCTGACACCCAGAAAATGATCCAATATGAAATCAAACAGATAAAGGTACAAGGAGAAGGGGATGGAAATTCCCTTCCTTTTGGTTTTCTGCTTGAGATCCTTGTTCTGGGAATGACTGGCACATGGAAAGGACAGAATGGACTCAGTCTGGGGGAATAGTTGGGTCAATAACAACCCTAAGAAGATGCAGTTAGGGTGTGGGGAGAGCTGCAACAGTCAGCACATTACAACAGGAAGGGATCTTCTAAATCAATGATGCAACCTTCTCATTTTATACACAGAGAAACTGAGGCAAGAAGAATGATTTACCCAAGGTCTCAGGGTGAGTCAATTACAGAGAAAGAACCACAACCCAGGTCTTCTGACTTTCCTGTCTCCTCATAAAGGATGTAGGGTTAGCCAAAATACATCTCCTGATCCAAGTTCCTAGCACAAAGGTTCTTAAATCTTTGGTATCATGAGCCCCTTTGATGAAGCCTATGAATACTTTCTCAGAATGATGTTTTTATACGCATAAAATAAAATTCTCAGGATTGTCAAGGAAACCAATTACATTGAAATACTGTTATAAAATCTTTTTTAAAAACAAGTTTTTCAAGGCAGCTAGGTGGTGAAGTGGACAGAGCAACCAACTCTGGAATTCAAATCTAGACTCAGACACTTGCTAGCTGTGTGACCCTGGACAAGACACTTAACCCCAATGGCCTCCAAAAAAAAGGTTTTATGCCCAGTGTCCCATGGGGAAGTGGAGGAGATAGGATGCTCAGAGGGTCACATGGGTCACCCCTGTGGGGCAAAAGAATGGGGTGGAGTAAGTATGGACTGGTAAGCTTTGAGGTGGCCAGAATGATTAAAAAAAAAAACTAGATACTTCTCTAAATGCTATTTGGCTCCTCTTTGGTTGCTGGGAACATTTGGTATATGAAGCTGAGAAATGGGTGACACATTTGTACTTTTAAAGGGATCTAAAGGGAAAAGGGTACTCTTGACTATAAAAGTTACAGCAAGAAGAACTCTTGTCCCGTAGATAATACAATCTCCTCATGTTATAGACGTGAATATGGAGGTCTAGGGAGACACCCAAGATCATGTAAATGGTATGTAATGAGGCCTATGACTCCCCGTGTCCTGCGTGGTTGGTTAACTAGGATTCTATGTACCTCATCTCATGGCAGCAAGGCCCACACGGGTGCTTGTCCTGTGCCTCCTTTCTGAAAGACCTTGCTCTCAGCTGCCTATCAGTTCATCTCCATGAAGGCGTCAGCTGAGAAGGGCTAACGGTGGTGCTCTTCTCAGGGGAATGATTTTCAGAGCTACCCACCTATGAAATTACCATGTACAGCCTGGAACGTGAACATCAAGGTGGGCCTAAGGGAGGAGGGACATTCCCCCAAAGCAAGGAGGAGAAAGGGGCTTTCTATCCAAATCTCAGACCTACATATGTTTGTTTGTCCGTCCATAATATCTTACATTTTTATAACTTTTATTTTTTTTAAACTGGGCCTTCATTCATATGAGGAACTCCTAGTGTGGACATTCCTTCCATCAAAGCAGATCAGCATCTGCTGTGCAAATTATAGTATCTTTTAAAAAAAAATCTTCTTTTTTCTTATTATGAATCTGACAAATATTAGCAAATATGATTGTTTCCATGTATACATATAGATGGAAAAAAACAGAAAAGGATTCTATGTAAAACCACAAGTCTCTATTTGCATACGGTTTATGCATCTTAGTCTCAAAGTGTTTGTTGCCTGGTTAAGTGACTTGCTTGGGGTCAGATAGCCAGTGTGTGTCAGAGGCTAGACCTGAACCCAGATCTTCCTGACTTTGAAGCCAGCTCTCTATCCTCTACACCAGTGATGTCAAACCCAAATAGAAATGGGGCCCCCATAAGAATCTCTGTGGGATGCACATTGACTTAGAAAACTATATATTTTAAAAAATATTAAGAATTCTTTTTACATGTAATTGGAAAAAATAAAATATTAAAATGTTCAAAAAAAAGAAAATCACATATTTACATTCTTTATATTCTAATGCATTTTTATTTATTTTGTTAATTATTTCCCAATTACATTTTAATCTGGTTCCTGCCTGTTTGATCCCTTGGGTCTACACCTACATCATTTCTCAACTATTATAATAGCATAATAATAATATTGTTATTTCTATACCATTTCCAATTTTTAAAAGTGCTCTTATGTGATTTATTTTAGCTAGAGAACTGTCATTGAATTATAATAACATGACTGTCATTGCCCCATCATTGAAGTACTTTATAGACAAAGAAATAGAGAAGTTAAGTGACTTGGCCAAGGCCACACAGCTAATAAATACAAGGCAGGGTTTCCACTCAGGTCTCCTTGCCTCCAAATACACTTCTCTAATCACAGTACAATGCACTTTCACATCCGTAAAGAGGCAGCTGGGGGTCAAGTAGATCAAGCTCTGAATCTGGAATCAGGAAGATCTGAATTCAAATCCATCTTCAGATACTAGTTGTGTGACCTTGGCGAAGTCACTTAGTAATGGCACCAACCTGCTAGGGTGGTTGTGAGGATCAAATGGGATAATATTTGTAAAGCCCTCAGCACAATACTTGGCCCACTTTTGTTGTTGTTCAGTCATTTTCATATCTGACTTTTTGTGAGCTCATTTGGGGGTTTTCTTGACAGAGATACTGGAGTGGATTTGCCATTTCCTTCTCCAGTTCATTTTATAGATGAGGATACTGAGGCAAACAGGGTTGAGTGACTTGCCCAGGGTCACACAGCTAGTAAGTGTCTGAGACTGGATTTGAACTCAGGGAGATGAGTCTTCCTGACTCCAGGCCTGGCACTGGCTGCACTATGGCGCCACCTAATTGCCTCACTGGCACATAGTAAATGCTTAATAAATTCTTGTTTCCTTCCTTCCACTTACAGCATCTCCTTTGGTCTTCATAACAACCCTTGGAAGTAGGTTATATTTCCACCATTTTATAGATAAAGAAACAGAAACTTAGGAAAGGGGAAATGACTTGTTTAAAGTTATGCAATATGTGAATGGCAGATTAGTACCCAAATTTAGATCTTCAGTATCTAAGGCCAGTGATTCTTCAATAACTGCAACATTTAATAAACATTCACTGAGCATCTTTTGCGTGCAGATCCCTGTGTGGATAGCCTCAATTGAGGGCCACATGAGTAATTTTTTTCATTTAAAAATGTTAATTATTAAATTTATTTAAATCTATTTAAAATTTTCAAATTTAAATTAAAAAATTTAATTTAAATTAATTTTTTTAATTTATAATTTTTAAAGATTTGCTTATTTATCTTTTAAGAATAAGAACCTTATAACTTTCAAATTCATGCTGCCTGCCCAAAATAGACACAGAGATAGGGAGACACATGGATATGCATGTACACATACATGTGAGCACTGCACACGTACATGTACCCGCATGTAAACATAAAGACTCAGACTTTTACGTAGAATTGCCATAACCTCTTATAATAGCCGCAGTAAAGATTTTTAAGACTTTGTTGCATTTTTGTAATTTTAACCATAAATGTGATTATATTTCTTGGAACTGACCACACAGGCCAGATGACATCAGGTTAAGAGTCAAATTTGGGCTGAGGACTGAAGGTTCCCCAGTCTTATTCTAAAGGAAAATATTATTTCAATCTAAAGACATTTGTGACTTAGTGATGACCTCAGCATAAATATACTGCAGGTTAGAGCCCAGATCTATGCCTCTAAAATATAAAAAACTCTTGCTATGTAGGCAGGAAAGAAACTTGCAAAGTACGGGCCACTTCTGTGATCTTCCTTAGCCATGACCAGTCTTACACATAGGTGGTAGAAGAGGCTGTCTATGTGATTCAACTGGAGTCTTGGGAAAGAAAGTCTTTTTTCCCAAATATTTTATCATCTGTCATTGTTTCCTGATATTCCACTGTTGGATAGTCATTCCTTTTGCTTAAGACATTGTCTCACTTTAAAACACAAACAGCCTTGGCAAAGATAACACATTAAGCCTCCTCAGTTATTTATATCTTATTATGATGATTTGCTTTCCTGAGAGCTTTAGGGAGGGGGATGAGGAAGGAAGAGAAGTGAAAATATAGGAGCCAGCTCTAGAAATTGAGGTTGGGCTGAATCTTTATCGCCTTACAGCAGAAGTTCTTAATCTTTTGATGTCATGGGCTGTTTGGCAGTCTGGTGATGCCTATGGACTCCATCTCAGAATAATGCTTTTAAGTGCATAAAATAAAATATATAGTATTATAAAGGAAGTCTATTATATTAAAATGTAGTTATTAAAATAAAAAAAAAAACCAAGTTCATAGACCTGAGGTAAAGGATCCCTGTTTAGGGCCATCCTCAGAGGGAAGGCGTGAGGAGAAGGCCTGTAACTCAGCTCTCTTCAAAGTTGCACCCCTTATGCCGCATCAGAGCCCCGAGAGTACCTTCTCACCCCAAATGGAATGACCTGAGATTCTCTTTTATTAAAATTGGCTTAGCTGGGCTTGGCGCATACCCACAATCCCCGAATTGGCCTTTCCAGTTGGTCTTGTTAACGATGTAAAAGTGAGGCATTAGTGCATTTATTTATTTTGACATAAACTTTTCATACCATCTTACCCAAATTTGCTTTTCTGAACTTGTCTTGTAGATGTTTAAAGGGTTCGATAAGGTGAAGGACGTTCAGTATGTCTACACACCATTAGACTCCTCTCTGTGTGGGGTCAGGCTAGAAGCCAATAAGAAGAAGCAGTATCTCCTTACTGGTAAGTGCCTCAGGTCAATGAAAAGGGCCTACCTGGGGGAGCAGAGCGAGGCAGAACCTCTCACTCTATAGCTGGAGGCTTCTAGCTCCATTGGGTTGGACTGGTTCAATCAATCAATAAGTATTATTAAGTGCTTACTATGTGCCAGGCACTGTGCTAAATGCTGGAATGGCTGGGGCCCTCCAATCAATGCTTAGTTGTATTTTCTTATGAACAGAAACAACCTATTCCAGTGAGAAGCAAAATCATAGAATCTCGTGGTTAGAAAGTACATCTTTCTACAGAAATGTCCTCTATAGTATCTTTGATAGATGGCCATCCAACCTCCACTTGAACACTGTTATGGATGGTGAACTCACTACCTCTGCAAGAGAGCCTGTGTCGTTGTTGGACAACTTATAGCTGCCAGAAAATTCTTTTTTATGTTAAGCCAAAGTCTGCCTTCCTATAACTCCTATTCATTGGTACCAGTCCAACCTTCAGGAGTGAAACAGAACTCCCCCTCTTTGTGGTCTTTCAACTGTTTGGAGTTTGTGATTATTCTATTCTTGTCCCTGAGTCCTCTTTTTCACACTGACCTGCCCCAGGATCTCCAATCATTCCTTGGTTTTCAGTTCTCTCACTCTCTTTGTTCTCTTCTGGACCCACTCCAGTTTGCCAACGTTTATCTTAAAATGTGGTACTTGATACTGAACACAATATTCCACATATGGTTTTGACCAGACTAGAAGTGGATAAGACCATTACTTCCAGATACTACATAAATCTTTCACGGCCATCTATCTAGTCTTATCAAACCTCTCCCAAATCTTAGAACCACATTTAGAGTAGGGGGGGATAGATTTATTCTGCCTTTGCTCTCATACCGTTTGATTGGAAGATCCTAGCATGCTTACTATTGGTTGATGATCAGAAAGCATTTGATTGATTACAATGAAATGCCATCTTAAAGGCCCTCTTCCAACAATGTCTCTGTGTGCACAAATCACAACCAAAGCAAGATTTCTGGAAGGACATAACAAGAGAAAAAACCTTGTTCAGGGAGCTTCTGGTCAGCAGTATCAAGTGAGACATGAAACAGAGAGAGGTATTTTCATCAAAAGGTGTTCACCACTGTCATGGTGGAGATTCAGCAAGCCTAACTTGAATAGGGTTGGATCTTCTAGCGCTCCTGTTTGGATATGATGTTGTTCTGATGGCATCACGCCCTAGAAGCCTAAAGAACCTCCCAATGAGATCTACAAACTCTCCAAAACAGTTTGACCCAACTGTTTACAGACGAGGAACCAAGTGGATGAGAATGTCCAGTGTTTAAATAATGATAATGGATGGAACACCTACGGAGCTCATTCATGTGTGTGTGTGTGTGTGTGTGTGTGTGTGTGTGTGTATACATATATACATACCTATATACATAATCTGGTGTAAATGGCCCACCTCTAGTCTGAGGGTTTTCAGGCAGTCGAGGTGGTGGTGAATCCGCCCTGTTGTTTTCCTCGGGTCACTTGCGTGTCACATGCACGAGCTAGGATTTGATAGAATTCAGTCCCTTGAGTATCCGCAGAACCAGGGAGGCAGTGGGGTTGTGCAGAATTCAGAAAGGGAAACGTACAGCCTAGTTAAGGACTCAAGGCACATGCATGCGAAGGGGACGTGATTGTTATTCAGTCATTTCAGTTGTATCCAGCTCTCTGTGACACCATTTGGGGTTTTCTTGGCAAAGATACTGGAGTCGTTGGCCATTTCCTTCTCCAGTTCATTTTACAGATGAGGAAACTGAGGCAAACAGGGTGAAGCAACTTTCCCATGGTCATACAGCTAGTAATCGTCTGAGGCTGGATTTGAACTCAGGTCTTCCTGACTCCAGATCCAACACTGTATCCAGTGAGCCACCTAGCTGTCCTGTGTTAATATTGGTTTAGGGAACTATACCAATGAAGAAATTCTCTCCACCAATACTTGATTGAAGCTTAAATCAGTAGAGTTGCCTGGATAGTAAGAAGTGACTTGCCCAAGGTCACACAGCCGGCACGAGTCAGAGGTAGGACTTAAAGCCCAATCATCCTGGCTCTAAAAACAGCTCTCTACCCACTGTGCTACACTGCCCCTTAATAACAAAGGTAGCTTATGTTGTGTAGTACTTTAAGATCTGCAGGGCCAACAATACCTCATTTAACCCTCCTAACAATCCCATGAGGTAGGTGCTATTATTATCCCCACTTCACAAACAAGGAAACTGAGGCTTTTGGTGGTTAGGTCCCCTGCCCGGGGTAACATAGATAGCAAGTGCGTGAAGTGGGATTTGAACCTCGGCCTTCCTGGCTCCAAGCCCAGTGGCCTAATCCCTCCTCCATGTTTACACAGGGTGGCTTCTTAGTTGATTCTTGTTGAATGTGCACTCTGAGGGACCCCTGGGATAATAAAGAAGCATGACACCCAGCTCAAGCTCTGCACGACCTTACAGAAAACCAATGGGGAGGAACAGATATGTAAACACGCAGAATTAAACAACAACAAAAGAGACGCCATGAGTCAGCATTCACTAAGGACCGTCAAACATGGGGCCCACAGACCCCCAAGCGCTCCCATGTGCAGCCTGAACCAGGGCCAGATTAAAAGGTGGTTGGGAAATGTTTTACAAAATAAATAAAAAATACAACAGAACATGGGTAAGTCCGTCTGCTCTGGCAGGGATTCTTCTGTCCAATGTTGCTGCCCCTGCTTCTATTTGAGTTTGACCCCACTGGGGTCGGGGCAACGGTTCCCATTTAGTGGTTCTCAGCCCCTTGGGGGTTCACAGCGATGGCCCAAGTTCATGATTCTTTAATGGAGGCTTAAGCAGTAAATAATTGTAAAGAATATTATGAGTGGCAGATTAAATTACCCTGGAGGTCACAATACATTGGAAAAGGTTCACAGAATAACAAACATGGGCAGGTACAAGGGTGGTGACACCAGTCGGTAGCATAGGAGAACTGAGCAGGTAGAAGCTTGGGTGGCAAGAGAGGGCTTCATGGTGGAAGTGGGCTCTGAGGTAGGTACTAGAAAACTCCTGCTACATGGAGCTTTCAAGTGTCCAAAGCACTTTGCCCAAAACCACTCTTGGAAGGAGTCCTGATATTCCTTGAACCTATTAACACCTTCCCAAAGTCACACAGCCAGGAAATGGAGACACCAATTCTAAGTCTATAACATCTTTTTCCATGACATCTCACTGCCTCATTGCCGTCTTGAAGCATGAACAGGAGCTCGGCTAAGTGTTGAGGAGTGAGGATGGCATTCATGGTGGGCAGATTAGAAGGAATGGAATGACAAAATGTCACATGGACGCCATTTTTGTTAGGGCATTGAAGGTATGCATAGAGATATTTCGAATAATAAATTTTAAATTTTGAAAGGTGGGTGGGACCTTGAATTCCAAGCAAAGGAATTTGCATAGTGCTGCACATCCATGTGTCTTATCAAGTGGTATAGGTTTTTGAATCTCCTCCAGAATCCAGAGCTTGAGAGGAAGACAGGGAAGAAGGGAAGGCCAGGTAGGGGCCACTCCGGCTATTTAGTTCTACTCCACCACTATCATTAGATGTCCTAAGACTCTAGTCTCCAGGAGGGCACTAGTCCCCGAGAAGCCTTATCTGGAAGGTGGCAGAAGAGCACGGCTAATGACTTTCTCTCCTTCCTACAGGCCAGATTCTAGATAATGGCAAAGTATTCATCAATATGTGTAATTACATAGAGCCCTGGGACGACCTGTCCTTCTTGCAGAAGAAAAGCCTGAATCATCGTTATAACATTGATTGCACCTGCAAGGTAAGTGGGACTAGAGGGCCACGAGGCAGGGAGAAGGGAAGGCTGGGCTTCTCAAAGCCCTGCCTGAGCCCACAGACCATGGTTCTGCTCATAGTTCCCACCACAGGGATTGGAAGGGAAGAAAGGCAGCATCAGAGAACACAGAGCTCCAATTATTCTCATTTTATTCATGAGTCACTGAGGTTCAGAGAAATTGTTTGCCCAAGGTTACTTGTGACTTGCCCAAGGTCACAAATCTAGAGATGGACACTTTTAGGACCAGGGTACTCTGACAAGTATATGTATATGCATATGTACATGTACATGTATACTTACATGTATATACATACTCACAATGTATATGTATGAGTATGTATGTGTATGTATGTTATATATGTGTATATGCGTATATATGTATATAGGTGTGGGTATATATATGCATGTATATGTATATGGGTATGTGTATGTATATATATATATATACACATGTATGTAATTTACTACCTATATGGTCTTAACTTATCTGATCATTACTTCTCTCATCTGTAAAATAAGGTCAAAGTAGATGACCCCCGAATCTTTGATCCCAAGGTGGTACAGAGACCTTCTTTAGAAGTTACACTTTCTGGTCCAAGGGAAACTGGCCAAGGAACACAGTGTGAAAGATTTCTACTGGGATCTTTTATTTCCCACATTAGAGAAGCAAAAGAAAAAGTTAACAAAGTGTGTTTTGCAAGCTAGCCAAGTAAAGAGTAGAAGGAAAAAAGAAAATAAGAATCCTTTGCAATTGGAAGATAGAAGACCCAAGTTTCTGAATCATGCTTTGCCAAGAACTCACTCTGTCTGGGTCATGTCAAGAAACCTCCCTGGGCCTCAGTTTCCTCAGTTGTAAAATGAGGAGGTGGAGTTTGGAGAGCAGCTAAGTGGTGTAGTGGATAGAGCACTGGGTCTGGCATCAGAAAAACTTGAGTTCAAATCTATCCTTACGTATTTCCTAGTTGTGTGACCCTAAGCAAGTCACTTAACCCCTATTTGACTCAGTTTCCTCAACTGTAAAATGGGAATGATGCTAGTACTTACCTCTCAGGGTTGTGAGGATCAAATAATACAGATATAAGATAATAATTATAATAAAGCTCTTAGCACAGTGCCGGGCACATTGTAAGCACTATAAAAATGTTAGCTGCTATTATTATTGTTCTTATTCAACCCCAGACACTTCTAGCTGTATGACCCTGACAAATCATCTAACCTCTGTCTGCCTCAGTTTCCTCATCTGTAAAATTGAGATAATAACATCACCTACTTTCCCGAATTATTGTGAAGATAAAATGAGATAGTATTTGTAAAGTGTTTAGCACAATGCCTGACACATAGTAGGCACAATATACATGTTAGCTATTATTATTGCTATTATCATTATTATTATCTTTAGGGTTCCTTCCATATCTAAGATTCTAAGAGTCTTTATTCAGTGATTCATGAATCTAAACACATTCTCATAGGTTCACAGATCCAGAAATCATCCTCTAGATGAGGCAACCCCTCATTTTATACAGCTGAGTAACTTGAGGCCCAGAGAGACTTAGCAACGTGCCCAAGGTCACACTGATGATAACCATAAGAGTCAGAACTTGAACCTAGGCCCTTTGGCTCAGGAAGTCAATGAATGTTGCACAGTACCACCTGACCCCTCATGTTCTGTTCCGTTTAGATCGTCACCTGCTACACAGTGCCCTGCTCCATCTCGGCCCCCAATGAGTGTCTCTGGACAGACTGGCTGATTGAGCGGAAGCTCTATGGGCACCAGGCCCAGCATTACGCTTGCGTTAAGCGCAGCAATGGCACCTGCGGCTGGTACCGGGTTGGTCTCCCCCCTGAGAAGGAATTCATCGATGTCAGCGAGCCCTAGAGAGAAGCATTACCACACCCCCCGCCCTAGCTCCTGAGTGGCCTGGAGGCCAGATCCATCCATCCATCCATCCATCCATCCATCGATCCATCCATCCATCCATCCATCCATCCATCCAACCATCCATCCATCTGTCCATCCCTGCACAGCTTCCCACTGCTTAATGTAGCCACCACTTAGGGTCGCTGCCAACTCGCGGAAGATACCAATGTGTGTGGAGCTAGTGGCTGGGTGAGAAGAGGGCTCACACTCCCGGCAGTGGCTGTTCTGAGAAGGCCAGTCAGGCTTGGGTCCAGAGTTCCTCTCTGTGCTGGGAAAAGCAGGACCGTCCCAGTCAAAGGGCCATGGGCCTGTTCCCTCTGCTTAGCTTCTTCCTGTCACGGAGCAGGTTCGGAAAAAAGAACTCCCGTGTAATCACGAATCAATCTTTCTGATCAGGCTGGGGTTTGTTTCTGTCCCTCTCTAAAAAACAAAATGTTGAAACGCGAACGAAAGCGCTTTCCATATCTGGAGCTGACATGGCACGGGCCAAATATTGTACAGCATGTGCACAAATTATTAATAGCCCCATGTTGTACAAAAGCAACCACTGTGATCAAGGCAAGTGGAATGGGCTGATTTGGGAGAATGATTAAAAAGCATCTTGTACACTTGGTGTGTGTGGAAGTTTCTTTTCAACTTATCTCTCCCCTAGCAAGGCCTGGACAGAACCGGCTGTTGCTTTCTGATACAGTGTAATTACTGGTGGGCTGGGGAGCCCTGGGAACCCCCAAACTCCCACCCAATGTAGAAATTCTTTCTCTAACATCCCTGGCCAATGGCCTGCCAGCTTGTGCTCCGAGGTTCCAAGACAGCCCACGTCTACTAACTGTCAGAAAGCTCTTGCATATGTTAAACTACCCTTGGTTTCCCTGTAACTTTCACCCCCTGGCACTTGTTGGACCCTCTGAAGCAACTCAGAAGTTCAGTCCTTCTATGTGAAAGTCTTAATGCTCCTATAATCTCTTCAAAATTTCCGTATATAATAGTCTTTCCTCCCCACCCCACTTCCATAAAAAATAGGCCTCCATTTATTTGCTGATGCCTATATTTCCACCCTCTAAGCTTCCTTCCTTTAGCATAACCCAGCAGTTCTTAATCTTTCCTGTGTCCTGAACCCCTTTGGCAGGCCGGTGAAGCCTATGGTCCCCCTGCTCAGAATCATCCTTTTAAATGCAATAAAATAAAACAAGGGGGATTATAAAGGAAAGTAATTACATTAAAATACAGTTATGTTAAAAATATAGCTAAAATAAGTTCACAAATCCCAGGCTAAAAACCCCTGGAACCCAAACAAGGGCCCTCGTTCACTGCTAAAATGAAAATATGACCCTTGCCCCAGAAGGTACACTTAAAATCTTCCTTTTTTGGCATAGGGAGAGAATCCAGACTTGTGATTTCATGAGTGCAGGGAACTCCCAGGCAGGGAATCCCCTCTGCCAATGCAGACTAGTTACTTTTCTATAACTTAGTGTCTGAGAGAATTGCTGAGGGTGGTGGTGATGGTAGTGGGGTACACTGAGAGGTCGAGGGACTTGCCTAGGGGCTCACAATCAGAGGCAAGACTTAACTTGAATCCAGGCTTCCCTGACATTGAGGCAGGCCCTCTTTTCATTGTATCATGCTGCTTCTCCTTACCGGAATTTCCTATCCCTGAATGTATTCATCAAACCTTTTCCCCCGCAGAGAGCAGGTTTTGACAGTAAGGAAGGGAATCATAAGTTGATTTGACACCTGGAGATCAGATGAGAGGGTGGAAAGGGAGAGGGATGAACTAGCAGGGAGGGACACTGGAGGAAGAAAAAACAGGGAAAGGTGAGTGTGGCTGTCCTGAAGACAAACTCTGCTGGTTTCATCATTTTCCCAAGGGTAAGCCTTGACTGGTGGTTATAGGGACAGGGTATCCCAAAAGACTTTCTGCAAGATTATACCTGCATGAAGACTTTTGGGACACCCCAGATAGGAGCCTTTAAAAAAAAAAAGCTCATAATTAGTATCAGCGATAACTTATCCAAGCCTTACTTAGTTCAGTGGATAGAGATAGATAGATGACAGATAAATAGATAGGTAGGTAGAAAGATAGAAGGATAGATGGATGATAGATGGATAGATAGAAAGATAGATACATGATGGAGAGATAGATGATGGATGGATAGATAGCTAGATGGATGGATAGATAGATAGATGGATAGATAGAAATGATGGCTAGAGACAGATTGCTAGACAGACTGATAGCCAGGCACACACATACCTGACTCTGACAGGCTTCTACCTGCACCCTCCACCCCACCAGAGAACACAACTCTCTGACAGCTTCTCCAAAGGTCTGTTCACCTCTCTGCTACTTACTACCTGTGTGAACCGGAGCAAATCCCTCCAGTTTTCTGGGCCTCAGTTTCCTCATCCATAAAAGGAGTGGGCTGGACTCAGCCTCTGCGGTCCCTTCCAGCTCTAAATCTATGATCCTTCAAAAAGGAAAAGACCTTGTGCTTACTATCTTTCTTTATTTTTGGAGACAATCGGGGTAAAATGACTTCGCCAGGGTCACACAGCTAATAAGTATCTGAGGCCAGCTTTGAACTCATGTCCTCCTGACTCCAGGGCTGGTTTCTGTCCTCTGCACCACCTAGCTGCCCCACGCTCACTATCTTCCAAAGTTATCAGAGGTATGAACTAAAACTTCTCGGGAGTCCTCAGCCAGCCACCATCTCATCTAACTCCCTAACTCTCCAGGGCTTGGCAGACAGACAAGGCGGGTATTTTTGCTTTATTTTGTTTTAGGGAATCTTGTGTTTTTGGAATGTGTGTGTTTTTATTTCTTTCCCTCATTTGAGAAGTGCAGTTTACCACTGAGAAGAGAGGGTTGTGGGTGACACGTGTGTGTGTGTGTGTGTGTGTGTGTGTGTGTGTGTCCTGGGGGCCAATACTCCTTTTCATAGGCACTGAGTGTTCTGTTTTTGGTGCACAGCAAAGAGCAGGAAGGGACAGAGGCCTCTATTGGCCCTGGACCACCTGGCTGGGAGTCGCTTAGTTACTCAGTATCCAATAAGCCTCAGGTAGGGCTTCCAGGTAGGGAAGATGAGGGTTCTGGGAATAGATCGCTGGAATCTGAAATAGGTCAGGACCACATTCTGCTCTTTTTAAAGGCTCAGATTGAGAATTAACTGGATTCTGACTTTGCTAGAAGTAGCTCTAAGCCCTTGAGACAGTTCAATGAGATTAACGTTGTCCTTCAAAATGGTGGCTTGTTTTAAGTTGAGCACAGACAAGCTGGACATTGGAATATCAGAAAAACGAAAAATCTGGGGAGTCCCTCCACTTATCACCCCACCCCCCTGCCAGGTTTGGACTCATCGCTACTCTTTATTGAGCATGCTCAAATTGGCAAAGGTCTTTGCAAACATGAACTCTCCAGCATTGGCAACCCTATGAGGATGCTACTCAAATGCATCTGTGATTCCTACCAGTTCGGATATTCCCTCGACACCATGGAGGCTTGGTGAGGGTAGGCATCCTAACTAGGTGTAGAGAGGCTCTTCAGCAGGAATTGGGCCACTTGGTGTTCAATTTTTTGACTCTGGCAACCCATGAAACAAAGAAAAATACCAAGTGTTCCTCAGTCCTGGGCATCTGCAGTCCTGTTGTCTGTGGTGAGGTCAGAGGGGACTAAGAATCAGTTTTTAGGTCATCTATAAACTTGAACTTGGCTGTTGGTACTCTAAACATGAGAATCTTGTCTGTTGACCGATGAGTGGAGATGTTGTTGGAGAAACTGATTGGTATCAATCAATGTTCTCACTATAAATGCAACATGAAGAAAGAATTGCAGCTAAGTGGAAGGCTGACTTGGAGCTACCTATAGGATCAAAGATTGAGACCTAGAAGAGACCCCAGAGGCAATCTGATCCAACCTCCCCACTTTATAGATGAGGAAATTGAGGCCCAGAGAGGGTAACTTATTTGAAGGCACAAGACAAAGGCAGAATGTGAACCCATCTTCTGTCTCTAAAGTCAGATCTTTTTCCATTGTATCATGTTGCTTCTCTTAAAGGCGATTCTCCTTGGGGTGTCAAAAAAAAATGAGTTGATTTTTTTTCACGAGTTGATATTGCAGGTATTATTGTCCCAATTTTATGGATGATAAAACTGAGGCCCAGGGTGATAAAAGCGACTTGCCCATGCCCACATAAGTAGCAAGTGAACCCAAGTCTTCCTGACTCCAAGTTCAGCAGTCTATCCACCATCCCACACTATGTTCCAAGAGGCAGAGGTAGGGTATACAACCATAGGATGACTGTGATACCTTTAATTACTTTGCTAACATGAAGTCCAAGGCATTCTCAGAAAAACTCATGTGACCAGGATAATGGGGAAGCAGCAATGAGCTGGATTTATCAATATTGCATCTTCAATGACCCTATCTAAAGTATTCCTCAGCGTGATACTTAGGTGCTTGAAACAATCCATTTTCCCTGTTTTCTCCCCACATCCCACCCCACCTTCAAGAGTCAAGAGTTGATATCCCCTAAATCCCCTTCCCTTGCTCACAAGGCTTCCCTTTAAACCTGCCTCCACATACACACTTGACACAAAAGAAGGAAAGAGACCAGAATCTTGACATATTATTTTTTAAAAGTTGTTAACCCTATTCAAGAATATCAAAACTCTTCTGTGGATGCAGGCCTGCTCAGAAACAAGACCCCCCAAGAGACCTTCTAGCCCTTGAAATTAAGGGGAAAGAAAAGACAAGGAACCCTGTGGTAAGGAGGCAATATGGTACCAAGTCAAGAAACCTGGGTTCAACTCTTTAGATTGCCTCTATGATCTTGGAAGAGTTAATCCTCTTCTCCAGGCCTCAGTTTCCTCAATTAGAAAAGGAGGAGAGGGAGCTGAAATAGATGATTTCTAAGGTCCCTTCCAACTCTAAAACTCTCTGTTCTAAGGTCCTTTCCAAATCTAACATTCTGTGATCCCATGAATTTTGGGACTTGGGCAATATGTCTGTTTCCCACCACTATCTTAAAGTCACTTGCTGACTACGCAGAGCCAGTGGAGAAAAACCATGTACCTACTCTCTGACTCTGCAAATGGAAAGAAGGGGAATAGAGTTGAGGGGAAGGGGGATTTGAAACACACAGTTGTCGTGCAGAAAAAGTCTAGATGGAGTCTAGTAATAGCTTTGGAAGGGGACTTAGAGGCCATACTGTCCAACTACTTCACTCTATAATGAGGAAACTCATCTGAGACCCAGAAAAGTGGGAGTAATTTGCCCAAGATCACACAGAGAGCAAGTGGTAAAGAGAAGATTTGAACCCAAGTCTTCTGACTCCAGATCCCATCAGAGTTCTTCCTGTCGTGTCACAAGGTCACATTTCTACCAAGTCGTCTTACATCCTTCCCTTCCATGCATCTTAGGATAGCCTCATGTAAGAACAGTCTAGGGGAAGTGGAAGGTGACCAGAAGAAGCAGATATGGAGTCATCATGACAATAAGAATACCACCTTATATTTATTGAGTGATGAGGAACTGTTTTGCTTTATTCTTTGTAGCATAGTGTCTTGCACATAGAGAGAGATGTAGGGACTGAACCTGTGATTTTACTGGTCCAGGGAGCTCCTAAGTGAGGAAATTCCCTCTACCGGTGAAGGTTGATACCTCCTCTACAAATTTCAGTCTTAGAGAGTTGCTTAGAAAACTGTTAAGTGACTTGCCCAGGGACATATAGCTATTAAGTGTATGAGGCTGAATTTGAATTCAGGTCTTCCTGACTCCAGGCCCAGCACTCTATCCACTGTCCCTTCTAATTTTCTAGTCGCTGTATAACACCGGACAAGTTGTTTAACTTCACTGAACCTCAATTTCTTCGTCTGTCAGATGGAGATAATAATAGTAATGTGAATAAAGCATAGTATAATGCCTAAAGCAGTAGAAACACGAATGTTATTATTTTATTTGATATTTAGAATCACTTTGTGAGGTGGGTATTGTCATCACCATTTGACATACTGAGAACTTGAATAATGATGTGATTTTCCTAATGCGATACCTGTAATAGAACTCAATTCTTCCAATTCCCAGTCCAGGTGTGAGATTCCTGGGTCTATCTATTCAACTTTATCCATGCATTTAATAAGCACTTGTTGAAGACCTACTAAGCGCCAGGTGCTGTGCTAGACACAGGAATTCCTCCCTCTCAGAAAAGACTCAGCTTCGGATAACATGTCCCCTCTCGTCTGCCTCATTTCATCTCAGCGTAGCAGTGGCAGGAGAGAGTTAATTAAAACTCAAAGTAAGAATCTAATGCAATTCATTTTTATGCCTCTCTCCCCCCAACCTGAATTCAGTTCATCGCCAAAGGAGTCATTTGTGCCTCAAATATACTTATTAGCCCCCACCCCCACCCTCAGCCAAGTGCTGTCCCCACCACTTACCATCTCCTTGTGGTTGGGGTAGAATGTCTGCTCAATGAGAGGGAATTTCTCACCTCCTAGATTCTTGTAGATGGCCACCAGCTGGGCAAACTGCAAAAGAAGACAAAACATATAAAACCACTGGGGAGGAGGGTATCCCTGGAATAGCTCAACTGAGCCTCCCTCCCTCCTTTCCAGTTTCAGGCCCAACATCTTAGTCTCAGCTGATCTGAAGATGAGTCAGTCAATCGACAAATATTTATTGTGGGTTTGCTACATAGAGGGGACTTTTTTTAGGTCCTAGGGACACAAAGGTGCAGCAAAATAGGATCTGTTGTTCAATTGTTTTTCAGTAACGTCTAACTCTTTGTGACCCAATTTTGGGGTTTTCTTGGCAAAGATACTGGAGCGCTTTGTCGTTTCCTTCTCCAGCACATTTTACAGATGAGGAAATTGAGGTAGACAGGTTAAATGTACATACCTAGTGTCTGAGGCCAGATTTGAACTCAGGAAGCTGAGTCTTCCTGAGTTCAGGCTTGATGCTCTATCCACTAGGCCACCTAGCTGCCAGTAAGACCAGGATCCCTGGCCTCAAAGAGCTTACCATCTCTATTTTGACTCTCCCAGGTTTAGGTATCAGTGCCATATTTGCATCATGAAAAGAATTTGGTAAGACTCCTTCTTTGCCTATTTTCCCAAATAATCTATATAGTATGGGAGAGCTTACCATCTAGTAGGAAAATTAATGCATGAAAAAATAAATGAAGTCAGTTAGTCAATCATCAAATATTTATTAAGCACTTACTATATTCCAGGCAATGTGCTAAGTACTGGGGATACAAAGACAGGCAAAAAACATGACCCCTGTCTCAAGGAGCTCACATTTTAAAAAACTTATATTATACATTATATACATATATACATACAGAGTAGACAGAAGGTAATCTCAGGCAGAAGGCAGTGGGGGAGATGGGGAAAGCCCCCTGCAGAAGGTGGATTTTGAGTAGAGTTTTGAAGGAAGCCAGTAGGTGGAGATGAGGAAAAAGAACTTATTCCAGGCATGGGGGACAGCCAATGCAAAGGGGCAGAGGTGAGGAATAGAATATAGTGTTCAAGGGATGTGAAGAAGGCCAATGTCATTGGTATGTGTAGGGGATTAAAGAGTTAGAAAAATGAAAAAATAGAAAGGTGCCAGACTGGGGAGGGCTTTAGTAGCCAAACAGAGGATTTTCTATTTGATCCTGAAGGTGACAGAGAACCATTAGAGTTTATTGAATAAGGGTTGTCATGGCCAGCCCTATATGTTAGGAAAATCATTTGGCAAGATCAATGATAGAAGGTAAGTGAATGCTATGTGTCCAGTTTAAATCCAATGAGTATTTATTAAGCACCTACTAGGTACCAGGCACTGTACCAGGCACTAGGCATATAGAGACAAAAAAAGGCAGGGGGTATCCCTGCCCTTAATGAGTTTATATTCACAGGGGCGGGGGGGGGGAATAACACATAACACACATAAATGTATGAAGGCTATAGCCTATATGCAATTACAGAGGTAGGAAGGGACGTTAGAATTGCCTGGTCCAATCTCTTTGTTTGGTAAATGAGGAGAATGAGACCCAGAGATATGAAGTGATTTACTCCAAATCACCCAAGTCCTACGGGGCAGAGATGGGATTCCAAGCTGAAATCCTGACTTCAAATCCAGCGCTACAGACATTAAGGGCTCCAAGAGATCAGAGGGGAAGACGTTAGTGTAAGTGAAGGTGAGTAGGGCGGTTAATGAAGGAAGGCTTCATGGAGAAGGCATGATTTATGTTGGAACTCTGAAGAACAGACAGATTTGGAGAGAGAAAAGTGAATTGACCATTCTAGTTGGCCAACAAGTCCTGGTAAGTCTTTCATGATGCCCCTCCTCTCTGTCCTCTGCTCTTCTCTCCTGCCACCATCACAAGCTCAACTTTCCATAGCTTTCTAGTTGGCTTTCCTGCTTCTAGGCTCTCCCCACCCCAATCCACCAGGCACATACCAGGTCCCCCGACCCCAAATCCAGGGTTTTTTTTTCTATGTTACCATGCTGAAGGAACAAGGTGCTTTTCTATAATTTCATTGTTTAAAAACACCATTTGAAACAAATGTTCAAGGAAGAAAAATTTGCCTTCAGTACTCCTCCTTCTCTCTCTTTTTACCATCCCTTTTCCCTCTCTTATCACTGCCCTGTCCTACAGCCAGGACTCCACTGATCTTTCTTCTTACCCAGGGCCTCCCAGTGTGGGAACTCAGCTGGTACAATGTACCCTCAGCTTGTCACAGTTGCCTCTGCGCCCAAACCTCCCCAAATTCAGACAATAGAACCAACTTAGCCAAACTACATGTGTCCAGAAGGGCCCCAGGGAATAACCCTAATGGTGGGAATTTCAGGCAGGCTGTCAGAACAGCAAAGTCATCCATTTCTCAAAAAGGTGGCACGATGCATGATGGGAAGTAATGGGAGGGGTTTAGGAAGAGACTCAAGATGCCAGCAAAGAACTCAGGCATTGGCTCAGGGTAGGCAGGGGGACAAGAGGCAGTTGTGGGGGGAGAAGTGGGATACACTCTTTTTGTGCTCTTCAGAATAGAGCAGCTCTGCTTCCACGACCCTATTTCTGGAAGATTTGGAAGGAACCACAGTTATGTAATGGGAGAAATGGGAGATTGCCTTCCCAAGTCAGCCTTGTGCCTGACGCTGGTGATCTCTGACCCCTCAGCCTCCTTTTGCCCCTTGCAGCAGGCAGTATGGACAGAGGAAAGAAACTGGGAAGATCCATGCCAAGGTCAACAGTGAAAAGAAGAGTCAGCACGCCTTGAATTTGTCAACTCCCAGTAACAGGAAGAAGAAAACACATGAAATGTTATTAGTGTAGGAGCTTAGCATGGCTAACTGGAGAACTTGGTGTCCATCCAACCTTCCCTGCTGTTCCAATCCAGAGCCAAAGGCAATAGCATGAGATTATGAATGGGAGACCGAACTCTCACCCAATCCCAGGCATGGCACATGACAGGGTGTAGGGCTTCTTGGGATCCCTGCTCGTGGGACCCTGACCTGGCATAGGCCTGGGACAGGTGGATGAGGAATGAATTAGCTTACATTGCTGCATTCCGGTCTCCCTTCCTCTGGCAGGAGGCACACAGCCCCTTAAAGAGACCCCAGGATTCACAGAAGATGCTGTAATAACTAGGATGACGTGCTAAGGGGAAGAGAGAAGCAAGGACAGGGCAACAGCACAGGAGAGCTGAAAACCAAAGCAAAGTAAAGCAAAGCAAACCACCTTCTCTTCTGTGGCCGGGGCCGTGCAGGGAGTTCAGTCTTGGGAAACACGGGGGTGGGGTGGAGAAGGAGGCCATAGGGCAACAGAGCCCTGGGAGCAAGGCAAGGGGCGGAGGGTAGCCTGGGAAGGGCCAGGACTCCCAGGGGAGAAGGACGGGTGGGAAGAAGCCAGTACAAGACCTTGTGCTGTCTCTGGACTGCTCTGATTAACTTCATATGCAGAATTGTGCACCCTTAGCACTAGAAAGACCTGAGTGATCAAGGATGAGAAGATTTAGAGTCAGAAAGGAACTTAGAGTTCCTTTGGTCCTACCCCTTCAAATTATAAAAGAGGAAACTGAGGCACAGGGAGAAGTTTCATGCCCAAGATCACACAGGGTTTTAGTACCAGCGAGCCATGGGCCGACACCTGTCGTAGTAATAAAAGCATCAATACTTCTTTATATTTATTTGTAAAGCACTCTGAGGTTTCCAAAGTATCTTTCACATACTGCATCCTCTCAACATTCCTGCTCAGTGGCCACAGCGGGTGCTGTGATTCCCATTTTACAGATGAGAAAATTGAGGCCCAAGGTGGTTCAGTGACTTGAAAAAGATCACACAGTCATAAGTGACAGAGCTGAGATTTCTACCCAGGTCTACTGATTATAAATCCAAGGCTCTTTCTCCCATGCCATTGTGGGAAAGGACACACACACAAAAAGAAACTCTATATAGTTTAAATACCAGTTTCTACAACCTTATTGCAACTGCATAAGGAAACTAAAATCATGAACCCTCCAGTGTGGTATAGTGGAAGCACTGGACTAGTGTCAGGAAAAAAAAACTGAGGTTCTGGACACAACTGGGTGCCATGTAGCCATTGACCGCATTTCTGGCCCTCTATTCCCTCATCTGTGAAATAAGGGGGTAGATCTAAATGATCTCCAAGCACACTCTAATTTTGAGCCTAACAACAGACAAATGTGATTGAAATTAGTTTATGTTGGATTAAGATCCTGCCCTCTGGAGGTCTCAACCAGGGAAGAAAGGAGGCAAGACATTTTGAGAACTTGGCTCCCTGCAAAATGTATCAAAGAACAAGCATTTATTAAGAACCTGCTGTGTGCTGGGCACTAAGTATTAGGGATATAAGACAAAAATGAAACAGTCCCTGCCCTCAATAAGCTTATGTTCTAGTCAAGACCAAGAGGGTCAGGAACATCCTCCTGGAAAGGTGACTGACAGAGTCTGCCTGGGAAGCTCCCCAGTAGAACATAAGCTCCCTGAAGACAGGAAATGTTTTTCATGTTTGTATGCTCCCAGCACCTAGCACAGAGCCTTGTACAGAGTAAGTGCTTAATAAATATCTGTTGGGTTGGATTGGACGTCCATCTATCCATCCATCCATCCATCCATCCATCCATCCATCCATCCATCCATCCATCCATCTATCCATTTTTCTAATCCTTGTCAACCATCATGGGCTGAAAGAGAGGCATCAATGACTCTTCTCTTTCCTTCATTCCTCATATCCAATCAGTTGCAAGTATTGTCAGTTTTACTTCCAATATAGCTATTAAACCTATTCCCTTCTCTCCACTCACACGGACACCACCCTATTCCTTATCCTATAATAACCTTCTAACTGGTCCTTCCAATTCCTCTTCTTTCTAATCCATCCTCCATTTTGGGGGAGGGGGACAAAGAAGGGGAGAGAAGAACTTATTAAGCTTCTACTATATTCCAGGTGGGGCAGCTAGGTGGAGCAGCGGATAGAGCTCTGGCTCTGAAGTCGGCTGTATCCACTGTGCCACCCAGCTAC